CGGGGATCTGAAAAAAAATGGACGGCGGAGGAGCCCCTGCCGTCCTGAAACTGACAGGAGGACAGCGGCTCCACTTTCTGACCCAGCTCCAAAACCATGTGAAACCAATTACCCATTTAAAGCTTTCCTAGTGCCAGGTTCACTTTGATATAGCCATTAGCCATCCTTATAATTATGTCCAGTGGAACAGAAGTCATGTCCTCTTAAAATGGCTACCAAAAGCCATATATTGAAATAGAGAATAAGAGAATTAAAAATACGTTCCTCACATCAAGCATAAACAGTGCAACCTGAGTTGTGGCTCAGTCACAACTAGTAGTATACTTAATTAACGTGTTTAGAGAATTCTGCTCCTCTCATCACCCTAAGGGAAAAAAGTATACGAACCTTGAAAGACATTGGCTTTCAAAATATATATATATATATAATTATAGAGCACTCAGCTTTTCTTTCATCAGCCTCTGTTCCCAACCCATCTATTAGAACAGTCCTGCTCTTGATGTTCAACCACAACACCACCATTTCCTTCTGTAGCCAGTGACTAGTTTCATAAGAACTAGAGAGGGTACATGGGAAACTTGTAGACCCGGAGACAGTGTATGGAAAGTGTGAAAGCAGCATTATTCTCAAACACGCAAAAGCTAAAAACTTACAATAGTTGTGATCACCACATATAAAGATGAGCACCTGTGTGCGGGATGTAATCCATTCTATTTTCTGTTCTAATACATGATAGTGTTAATAGACACCTTTTCTTGTTCCTTCTTTAGTCTTGGTTTTAATATGCTTTTCAGTAAATCTTAAAGAATTTTGAACAGGAGTCATACAAAAGAAGAGCAACAAAAACCTGGACAGGCTCTTGCTCTTCCATGCCTTATCCATGACAAAGTAAAAAGTTTTCAAATCTCTATTTGCTGGTAATGCATTAAGGTACCAATTATTTTTTATGATTGCCATTATGTAATTAGTATTTAATGAAGGGAAATGAAGGGAAAACAACACAGATATCAACACAGCAGGCAGGCAATTGAACATTCTCTAAATATGACTTTTGTTCCCAGATCATTCACTAAATATGCCATAAATATACCGCCAGCCAATTCCATAAATAGCATAGATCCCTAAATTATAACTCATGTCGTATGAGAACAATCAGCACCATTCCTGCCGCCATGTGCAAATGTTTTAAAAGCTTATGAGAAATGATAACTGACATGTCAATTTGGGCCGTAGGGAGATACATTTATCAATGTGCAGACAACTTGTTGTCTGGTAACGTCAATGAAAGAGGTTTTCGAGCAGCCTCTGGTAAGCATCCTTTAGGGTGCCTTCATACCACAACCAGGGCTGCCATCAAGGGGGGTATGGCCGATACTCATGGGGGGCCTGCCCGGGACCGGCGAGGAGGCGACCGGGCCCCCGCAGCGCCGTAAAAAGGAAGGCTTGGCCCTAGCAGCGCCGGGACCCTGCATTGCCGATCCAGCAGCGTCGGAGCAGGCTGGGGCCCCATCGTTGCCGCTGCTCTTCGGTTCTTGGACCAGCCAGTCAAATGGCAGAGGAGGCCAGGTCACCAGCCCACCTGAGACCCCTGCAGAGCCCACCATAGAGAGTATCAGATGGGCTGTGCAGCATCAATGGTGGGCTCTGCAGGTTCTCAGGTGGGTCCTGCTTTCAGCGGGTCACTAAGCCCAGAGTCAAATTCATATACTGTTCTGCATTGCTGTATAAATGTATTGCTGGGATTTGTAGTCCCCCTACAGCTGGTGCCATTGTGCATTAGAGTGTAAGCTCCTCTGTACAGAGACTGATGTGACTGTGCGGGGGACATTAGAGTGTAGGCTCCTCTGTGCAGAGACTGATGTGAATGGCTCAGTGTTCTGTACAGCACTGCGGTATAGGTCAGAGCTATATACATGTATAATAATAGTGTGTGACTGAGGGGGACATTAGAGTGTAAGCTCCTATGTACAGAGACTGATGTAACTGGGGCTGCAACAACTAATCGACTAAGTCGATTAGTTACTGTATAATAATAACAGTGTGACTGGCTCTGTGTGGAGGCGGCGCCCGGCCTAAAGCTGTGTAAGGGGCCCCAAAATTTCTGATGGCTGCCCTGACCACAACACATGCTATTAAAGAAGTGGAAAGGGTGCCAATAAATAATGTGGATTTAAAGTCTTAAATATTATTTACTGAACCCTTTCTATTGTCTAATTGTAAGTCACCATACTATATAGCTGCCAATTACATTGCCCAGGTACTGGTTACCATATAGAAAGTTAGAATTCGTGTTACGGTAATGCATAGTAACGGGCTGTATATGCGTGCTGCAGTGCATTGCCATTCATTGTTAATAGCACCCCAATGCCATTCATTGTTAATAGCACCCCAATGCCCATAAAGACTCAAAATTTGCAAGACTTTTTATTTGAGTGGTGAGAGGAGTGACGAGCAGTCGTTCATAGTAACCAATCATTAGTTGTTTGGCATTCCAAATGATTCTTAGATTGTTAAGTTAACATCTTATTAGTTGTCATAGGGAATGACACATCAATAATTTTTCCAATAGAACACCTTCATGCGAATGGTGGATTTAACTCCCCCTCTGAAAAGCAATCCGTGTGGGATCGCTTATCAAAGCTGGTTGAGCAGCGGTTTGCAGGTGTTCAGGAGGGGATACTGCCATCTCCTAAATGCCTGTTTTTTTTAAATCTGAAAGGGGATTTTACATTGAAATATCAAACCACAACCACATGCCAAAGGTTTGGCACGTGGTTGTGGCACAGACCTAAGAATTTTCATACCCCTGTATTGTGTGCCTGAGGAAGACATCTTAGAAGTTTTTTGCATGTGAACTGAACAAAAAGAAAAAAGGATTAGCATTTAGGTCAGGGGTGGAAAGCTCCAGCCCCCCAGCTGTGCTTTAACTACAAATTCCAACATGCCTCTGGGAGTCATGCCCGTAACTGTCAGCCTTGCAATGTAATTACTTGTAATTACGAAGTTACCCATCCCCTGATTTAGGAGATCTATCTTGTTTACTGCTAACACCTCAAAGATTCAGGTCACACTCTACTGAAGTTGTTTTTTTATTCAACCAGCTGTCTTGTAGCAGTTGTGTGGCTTACAGTGCAAAATCTCTCCAGTTGGCCATAACTCTTTGCCTGACAAAGGGTGAAATGCGTCAGCAGTGCATTTTAACGCATGCTGCTGCTACAATGGAGCTGTACGAGTAAAAAAGGACTTCAGCGGAGTTCGGCCCACCATCCCCATTATCAGTTTTATCTTAGATAACTCCGTACCTCATATTTCTGTAAACAGTTATTATAGTTTTTGGTCAAGCCAGCTTAGGGTTTAAACCACTCACACAGATTACTCTGATTGCGCAATCTTTATGCAATCTTCTTCAAATTTTCTATTGTGTACAACAATTGTATAGTGTGATGTAAATAACCCATTCATCTTATATACAAATTTGTAGGTACTTGCACTGCAAACTTGTAGGGAAATCAAAATGAGATTGTACAGTTGGATTGTTTTGTGTGTGACCCGCTTTACTGACCCTTCATGTTCATGTATTGGTATGCATTGTTTGTGAAATTATCTTCTGAATTGCTGTGTGATACATTTGCATGTGTTGATGGCAGTATTTTTATGGCATTTATACTGTAGTGCCAAAATGTCACCTACATTAAAAGAGAACTATGGGGTAAGTGTTTTTCGTCATAGCTCTCTTAAGGGTCACGGGAGGACATATACTAGCCTCCTCCCATAAGCCAAAGCTCATTATATTGTGAGCTGCAGCTCTATTTGCTCTACCAATCAAGGTTTGCCTGATGAAGGAACTGATTTGGTTCCGAAACGTTGCTTTTCATTGTGATATCGCTTTCCGTCATCAATAAAAATGGATTGGTTGAGCAAACAGTGGAGTGCCGGTGACTACTTTTCCTACTATTGATTACCTGTGGTGCCATCCGCAGTCGCTGCAGCACCCACCCGAGGACTACGAGTTCATAATGGTCAGGAGTGCGATGAAGTGAAATCCAATCAATCCCTATGGGCATGGTTCCCACCTGGGCGTATTTCAGCGCGATTTGTACTTGAGCTTCTTTTTCGCGAATAGGGGCCGATTGCAGTGCTTATCCATTTGTATTGCCGAGTGTGGCTCGGGGTTAACAAAGCGGTAACCCCGAGCCACACTCTGGAATACAGCGTCGGTCTTACCTTGTCCGCGATCCCCGCTCTGTCCTCCGGCCGCTGCCGTCTTCCCGGGTTCCGTCCCTTGCGAGCGTCCGCGTCGCAGGAGGGCAGAACCGGCGGGAAGTTTGAAAGTTTAAAAAAAAAACCCCCGAAAAAAAAAGGTAAAGAAAAAAATGAAAAAAAAAAAAAATCATACCGCCAGGGAGGTATAAAAACGAGCGTCGAACGCGCGTTTCACTGAACTAAAAAACGTGCCAAAAAAACTGTGCTAAAAACGCGCCCAGGTGTGAACCCAGCCATAGGAAGTGAACTGAAAGCAGCAAGTTCACAGACAGTGCCAGAGAAGAGGTAAGTCTTGCTACAATTTTTACTGAATCAGAGTTACTACATTAAAAAGTTAAAAATAAAGTTGGAATTTTGCATCACAGATTTGCAGAGCGTCTCCTCAATGCGGCAATTTGCGTTTTAGATGATGCATTCTTGCTGAAAAACTGCTGAGAGAAAACAATTACAGGATAAGCTGCCTACAGGGGGAGTTTTTGGTCAGTCTCTAGACTTGCACTGAGATCAGAGATGCAGTAAAGCACTACTAAGCAGACAGCACAGGATTTATGCACCGTAAGCAAATATGGCTTCCCCCGTGTACATATGGCAGAATTATAAATTACACATAAAAGCAAAGTTTTTAAAACATAAATAACACAATCGATGATGTTATTTAAACTGAGCTGATCCCACCGAATGCATATATCTAAAAACTAGATGACAATACAGATTTCCCTTAAAGTACAGCGACTTACCTGCATAGTGGTCGAACACGGTAGGCAGGTACTGCTCGGGAAAGGCGTCATTGGCATAACTCATCACTAGGCAAGTCTTCCCGACAGCCCCGTCCCCGACCACCACGCACTTCAGCATCCTCTTCATGCTGTTCGTGGTGCTGCCAGACCCCGCGCTGTCAATTTCGTCTCTCCTATCCATCTCTCCGGCTGCCGCAGATGCCTCTCCGAGCCCGCGAAGGAGAAAGCAAACTTAACGCTGGAGATCCAAGTTTCTTTTCTTTTCCTAATGCCCCCCTTGAGAGACTGCAGATCAGGAAATCATTATATACTGCACATTCTGTTGCAATATCCTCTAACGATCATACTTCGCTGGATCGTGCTGCATTTTCCAGGCAGATGCCGAGACCCCTCATGTCCACAGTTCGCAGACTTTTCCTTATTCTGGCACACACACACAGGGCGCTCAGTGTTTGTGCATCGCAGCGGGGGGATTAAACGTTTGGACGTCACTTGTCCCTGCAGTAGGCTGACCACAGAAATCAGAGCTTGCTGCTCATCCACCCCCAGCCTCCACTTGTCTCCAGCATCTACTATGGAAGGGAGAGCACAAGGCTTTTTTTTTTTTCTTCTGAAAGGATTTTTTTTTTTTTTTTAAATCTTTCTTTCTTGGGCTTGCTCAGTGTCAGGAAATCATGGGTTTCCTGCTGAATTCCATATTAGGATCAGTGGGCTGGTGAACTGTAGGAAACAATGGGAGCTCTGTGTGTGTTTGCACTGTACAGGAACTTTGCCAGGGCTCCGAGTTAGAAAAACACTAGAGGTCCCACTGCAGGCTCGGAGTTAGACTTCCTCCTTCTTATCCTGGCTGGAGAGAGGCCGATGATGTCACTGCAGCTCTCTAATCACATTGTTATAGCAGCAAAAGGCAGAGGGCTGGAAGGAGCAGCCCCATTTAACTGCTTGGTTTCCATAGATCGGCTGCATCGAGGATGATAAAGAAGCACACCAGCCTAATAGAAAAGTAACAGATTGGGTTTGATCCCCCTTTCCCTCCCCAGCAGCACCTTTTTTTCATTAGCGACCCAGTTGCTCCATTCATTACTGGGATTCAAAGTAAAAACATGGTATTCCTGGGGGTGTCAGTAATTCTGTAAGACAGTGTTGGGCTAATCACATAGGGAGTCCATAGCCCTGTGTCAGTAACTCTATGATACAGTGTTGGGCTAATCACACATAGTTAGTCAGGTTGAAAAAAAGAAATGGAGACAAAAAAAAAAAAAAGAGAAGAAAAGCCTAAAGAGAATGCTATGCCCACAGGTACCCCCTGTTGATCCAGAGGAAGGCAAAAAAAACCCCTCTAAAGCATAAAAACCCCTATAAAGCCAGACATCCCAACCTGCAAAACCTTATTTCAGGGAGGTTCCCGTAACAGGAGTAAAGTCTCTGATACAGAGTTACCTAGTTGCTATGGGCAGCAAATAAAATAAATGTTCTCTATAACTAGACAACCAGGACATATAATTGATATATTATCCACAAAGGGTTAACAGCACTCTCTCAACCCTGCAGCAGTGCCTGTACCTGCTCCAAATCGTAGTCTATGTCCACCCTCTCTGTGCAGCAAGTAGCTTCTTCCTTCTGAGAGCCAAGCCTGGTTCTGAGGCTACTCTAGAGATCACATGACCGTCCTCCAGGAGGCAAGCCTCACTCTGAAACTTTACCCACTGATATCTTACCGGAAAGGTTTACTCAGAGTAAACCTTTCAGGGAGAAAATGCCTCTCTCGCGGACGTCAGGGAGCCGCTATCTTATAGAGGGAGACTCCCTGAACATCAGGGAGACTTGAGATCCCTGTAAAGCACACAGGGAGTCCATAGCCCTGTGTCAGTAACTCTATGAGACAGCGTTGGGCTAATCACACGGGGAGTCCATAGCCCTGTCAGTAACTATAGGTGACAGTGTTGGGCTAATCACACAGGGAGTTCTATAGCTCGGTGTCTCTGGTGACATTTGGTAGCTTATATAAGGCTCTCCTTTTCTCGTAATGGCTGAACAGAGCGAAGGAAGGCAAAAGGAAGGTGCTTGGGAGAGATAAGTTAAAGTGAAACTCCAGATTATTGAGAACAGTCCTCTTACCCCCTCTTAACATGAACACCTTGCAAACCAACTCACACATCTATTTAGTGGCACAAAGGAGGTCTTATATATGCTTCTGCTGTTGTATGCTGGAAGTGGGCTCACTGTGTGCCAGCAGCACAGTGATCGAGCTGGCACCGCCATTACAATGACATTAGGGCCCCCAATGGATTGCCCTATAGGTCTTTATACTCTCTTTGCTAGACTGTCAACATTATCATCCAAACCAGTCCTATTAGGTATAAGAATGTTTTCAGGCGATGTCAATAGCTTGGTTTTATTTTTGCCCATGGACAGCTAGGAACAGCAGCAGCTGAAAGAATATCATAAGGTTTTTATCATATTTATATACAAAAGTCAAATCAGAAACACACAAGCTAGCTACAACTACTGTGATTTTGGGCGATCTGTAATATTACTGAGGTCTGAGGAATTCCAAACTGTGTGGAGAGAAAGGAGAAGTTGTACTGAACACAATGCCATCCTCATTTGTTTCAAAATTCAAAAGTTGCAGACAAGATGGTCAGATTGAAGTTTCTTGCCTATACTAAGCCGTCAAGCAAGACAGAACATTTGACATAAAACAGGCCACTCACAAGGAATAGGAGGGCATCATATACCTTACCTAGACCAGGAATTCGAATGACGCGGTTCTGTAAATGAACACCTTATAAATAGTCTGGTATGCGGTTTTAGGACTACACATCTGTAAGGCTACAGTACTGACCTATAGCTGAACTCCCCATGGTCAAACTCTATATACATATTCCATAACTCCTTCTGTAATGGAGTTACCTTCCTAAAAAGGTGGTAACACTAATGTAGAGGAAGATAGAACCCAGACACCAACACTTTAGACCCCCCTGGGAGAAAGGCACATCATAAACCTGCCATATTTGTCATCCAACAAAACATAATATCATTCTGCTGATTATTCTGCTTTCATTATGCTGGTTTATGGATTGTGAAACCTTATCTTATGGAAATATAACTGTGCCAAGTAAAATTGTGGACATTAAGAGTGTGTTGGCTGTGCATTATAAAACACTCCAACACACCTACAACAAACTGCTCAAAACCATTTAACTGGCTGGTGCAGTTCTGCAACACCCTCTCCAGGGACAAAAAAAAAATCTGCTGCACAAGCAGCTGGGAGGATTCCTTTTACCATCTGAATTATTTATAAAAGCTAAGGGGTCTATTTATAAACAATTTGCAGAGCCATCCACCTTGTGAATCTCTCTAAATGTTCGTTCTGTGTGAATGGATGCACAAAACAAACTTTCTTAGTATATTTTCTATATAAAGGCCAATGTAATTTATAATGTCAGAATGTAATACCACATTATGTCCACTAAATGGAGTTGAGGAGCACAGGAAACAAAGACTTCTTGCCTATGCTCCTCAGCTTCATCTAGTGGACAGAATGCGGTATTTTACATATAGTACATTCAAATTGGAAAGAAAATATACTATGAATTTTCATTTTAGGCTCCATTCACACATTACCGACATTAATGGAGTTGTGCAGGGTGAACAGATAGGAAGAATTGGTTATAAATACACCTCTTAGAGTCATTTTTAAGGGCCAGTGACTCTTGCAACATCAGACAGGGCTCTACACTGTACTGAAGACCATATGGACTCCATGTGTTATTTTTTCATTTTTAAACCTTTTCATTTTATTGTTGCTTATGTCTGTTATGTAATAGCCTTTCTGTAAATATTTCTTGCACCGTTTTTCTTCAGTTGTCTTTTCTTTTTTATTAAAAAAACTGAATCTTTGACTTCTCTAACTAGAAAATAAGAAATCTGCCTTCATGAAGACGCTACCATATTGTATCCTATGTAAATCTGATACATTCCTGTCTAGGCGTGGCAGCAAGTGATTTTGACATTTTTAAATAGTCAGAATTGCAACAGCAGATGCTGTGAACAGTGTGGGTGGGATTTATCAGAACTGGAGCAGACAAAATCTGGAGGAGCTGTGCATGACAACCAATCAGCTTCTCTCTTCATTTTGTTCAGTTAAGATTTGAAATTGAAAGATAGAAGCCGATTGGTTGCCATACACAGCTGCTCCAGATTTTGTCTGCTCTAGTTTTGATAAATTCCCTTCTGTGTGTTGTCGTTAAAACGTGTGGAGTGGTGGCTACGGTGTGTATGTGTGTGAAGGGTTAACTGCTCAATTGATCTGCACCAGTGACAGTCAGTCACTCTCTTAGCTGGTGCTTAGATTGTTGTCCCACGAGCTGGAAAAGCTCTGTGCAGGGTGAGGCTCAGATTGTGTATGTCACAGATTAAAAACATGGAATGGATGTACAATTACTCACAATGTTACTCCCATCTGCTCTGACACATTAAGTTGACTTCTGCACTTTAATGTTAGGTTCAATAATGAAGACAATCCGGTTTCAGTTTGTTTTCAATTCCAAATTCCACACACCTATCATTTGGTTCCCATAACCCCAAGGGGTTTGATACCTCCACTTAAGAAACCCAGATTTAAGTGGAAGAAGTCCAATAATATAGGACCTCCAATAGATACTGTGGGAAACATATTTTAGAAGGCACAATTAACATTAAACTCTCTTTTTTTTCATCTTCTCAAAAAAAGTGGCCAATAATATGTGGTGAGAGATAACCAATATCCCCCTATTCAATAGTATGAGCTTAACACAGGAAGAGGTGGAGTCATGCCAAAACAAAATTAAGATAGATGAAGCACCTGGCCCAAATGAAATCCATGTCCAGCCATGTGCTAAAAGCATTGAGCGAAGTAATCGATAAACTGCCATCTTTTATTTTCTTAGTGACTTTATCGACTAGGCCAATCCTACAAGACTGGTTTACAGCAGATGTTCTACCATTAGTTATACAAAGTTCCAATAGACTAGTAAATCTGACTTTTCTCCCAGAGATTCTACAGCAGGTGGGTACAGATTGCATTATTTGGCATGTCTGGTCTAGAAGATTGTTTTCATGCTGGCAGCATAATCAGAACCCAAGACAAATCAATCTGTTATACTTCAAGATCCAAATAGGTTTGCCTGTATATACACTACAGTTGTTAGAGACAGTACCTATTACTTTCAATAACTCTATAAACTGTTTGACAACATTCCTGAAATGTTAAAATGTACAGCAAGGAGTATTCATTTTGAAAACAAGCTCCATTTTGTATTATTAAAATGTAGCCCCAGAATCTGTTCCTTCAAACCAAGTCAGCAGATCCTATCACATTTCTTCGCATGGGGCAAAGCGACAGGCTCACTTTAATGCCCCCTCCCCAGCTGCACATACTCACCTTCCTTTCATTTTCCCTCCTGCTGCATTTACCCACTGCAAGGAAAGAAGAAATCCTTGTGCAAGCTTCAAATACTTCTAGTTGGAGCTTACCAGGGTTTAGTAATGTACCCCCCACCCCCATGTGACAGTGCTGGGCCAATCACCAAGAACCCATGCTGTGACATGAGAGGAAGAGAAGTGAAGCACATGTTCCTTCATACCCAGAGGTACAATGTATTTTCTT